AGAAATAATACAACAATGCATGGACAAAACAATTGAAGAAGCAAAAAATAAATCAATAGAACCTGACTGTCTGGGGGCATTAATTTCATCACAATTATTAGACAACGACATCTGGATTCCTATTAGAAAAATTGAAGAGGACACCATAGACAACATTCTTAATCGTTTCCAGCTTGTAGCCCAATCAAAGATAGAAAAAGGATCCCTTATTGGTCAACCTTTCACAATAGCAATTCAAACACTTGGAATCTCCTCTCTTCCGAGAACAAAATCAATAAGAGGCAGCGCACCGCAAATAGCAGCAACAAGTAATTTTCAAATAAATAGCCCCTGTCTACTAAAAATCGATAACCCTAACAATCTATGCCTCTTCTATGCTCTAGAAGCAACAAGAAAATATTTTACCAAAGAATTGGGTGGGCATTGGAATTTTACAAGATATATGCAAAATAAAAAGAGGCAAATGGAAGATGTTTTTGAACTATTGAATACAGCAAAAATTCCCCAAAACCTCCTTGAATATGATGCTGTGGAATTTGTTCCAACTGTTGTAGATTTCTGGAACAACAAATATAATGAGTCTGGGTTCAAGTTCAAGGTATTTATATTTGGAAACGACAGCGAAAAGCCAAAATTTACCTATGGAAATGAAAATTTCAACATGCCTATTACAATTCTTCACACAAACAATCATTTTGACGGAATCAAGAATGTTGGAGGAATGTTTGGATTGAGGGTAAAATATTGTTTTACATGTGAAAAAAAGTTTAGGAAATCAAAGGAACATGACTCAAGATGTAAATCTCTCTGCAGATTCTGTGGGCGCATTGGAAGTGACAGACCTTGTGTTGCAACGGGAGACTTTTTCAAAAAATGTGATGAATGTGGGAAAAAATATTTAAATGAAGACTGCTTCAATCATCACAAAAAAAGCAGCAATTGCCGCCAAACAAAGCAGTGTGAGAAATGTGGAGTCATCTGGTCAATGAAAAATTATAAGAGGGAGGGTGAAAAGAAACATGTTTGTGGGCAAAAGTGGTGTCAAATTTGTCGGCAATTTCACAGCATGGAGAGAGGGTGCTTTATTCGTCCACTGGAATTGAAAAAACCATCACATTACCGCCTAGTAACATTTGACTTTGAAGCAACACAAAATGAAAAGATAAACGAAATTACCAAAGAAGAAAAACGACTTCACAAAGTGAATTTTATTGCAGCAACAGTAACCTGCACAAAATGTATGGAAGATGATCAATTATGGCGTGCGCCTCTCAAACAAAATGGAATGAATTGTATAATCTGCGGAAATAATCGATCAATCACATTTTCCCACCGACCATTTACTCAAACTACAGTCGATCAGCAAATTGTCACAGCAAACCCTCTAAAAGAATTTATTGATTGGATCCTATTTAAACTCAACCCCCAATATACAACTACGGCTTTTTCACACAATGGAGGGCGCTATGATATGATTATGGTCTTCAAAGAAGTTTATTCAAAAGGAGTTGTTCCATCAATGATTCGTCGTGGTAATAAACTTTACGAACTGAAAATTCCCCGCAACAACAAATGCAATGAAGTAATATTTCGAGATTCGTTTAATCTCTGTCCAGTTGCCTTGGGGAAGCTGGTTGGCGCCTTTGGACTACAAATTACAGAAAAACAATTTTTCCCACATTTGGCAAATATTCCTGAAAATTACAATAAAATATTACCGCAACTGCCTTCAAAAGCCGATTACCTTTATGGAGGAATGTCACCTGAGAAACAAAATGAATTTGACAAATGGTATGAAGAAGAAAAAAATAAACAATTTTGCCTGGATGAAGCCTTGGCCGAATATTGCACAAACGATGTCCAAATACTCACAGAAGCACTGATTGCATTCAGGAAAAAATTCACAGAGATTAGCAAACCAAGAAATGACAAGTCTGGGCCAGCAGCAGAAGGAATTGATATTTTGAAGGATGCAATGACAATAGCATCGGCCTGCATGAAACATTTTCGGCTTAATCACCTTCAACCTGACCATTTGGCAATTGTTCCGGAGAAAGGATATGAAAACATTGATAATCAAAGTGAGCTTGCCCTGAAATATCTACAATGGTACGAAGAAACAAAAGGAGTGGAAATTCAAAGTGCACATTCGGAAGATGGGGAATTTGTAGTGGCAGGAAAATATAAAGTTGATGGGTACATTGTGGCTGAAGATAGGGCAATTGAAGTGAATGGTTGTGTCTGGCACGGGTGCCAAAAATGCTTTGGAGATGATTTGTACAAAATATTGCCCAATGGAAAAACAGTGGGGGAAACACGTGAAGATGATGGAAAAAGATTGGAAATAATTAGAAAACATATAAAGAATGTTGATATAATATGGGAGTGTGAAATTCACCAGATGCTTCGTCGCAATCAGAAAATGAGGAAGGCTTTTGCAAATTACCACAACAAAGGACCAATCAATATAAGAGACTGTTATTTTGGTGGAAGGACTGGACCCTTACAAATGTACTTTGACGCAGAAAAAGAACAACATAAAATTGCCTACTTAGACTTTAATTCGCTTTACCCATCAACAATTGCTACAACATCATTTCCGGTTGGGCATCCGAAAGTACATGTTGTACCGCTAGCTGAACAAAAAGTTTATTGGACAAGAAGTGTGCAAATCCCGTTCAAAGGAATTTTAAAAGTATTTTTGCTACCCCCACCTCAACTGGACGTTCCTGTTATTCCAGTCAAATTTGATGAAAGACTTTTATTCCCACTATGTAGAAAATGCTCACTCACATACCCAAATGGCGCAAACATCAAAGACTACCGCTGTCCACACAATGATGATGAAAGAGGCTGGGTTTCAACAGTTACATCGATAGAATTGGAAGAAGCATTAAAAGTTGGTTACACAGTTACAAGATTTTACAGAGCTCTACATTATGAGAAATGGGATGAAAATTTATTCAAAAATTATGTGGCTGAGTTTATGGCAATGAAGATTCATGCTAGCGGGTTCCCTGAAGGAATAGAAGGAAAAGAATGTGAGGATGTTTTCATAAAAGAATGCAAAGAAAAGTTTGGTATTGAACTTCAAAAAGAAAAAATGGTTCCAGACAAGGCAATGCGCTACATTTCAAAACTAATGTTAAACTCTTTGTGGGGAAGATTTAGTCTGAGGAATACCTTGTCAAAAACTGTGATTACAGATGCACCAGATGAACTTCGAGAATATTATTACAACAAATCAATTGAATTGCAATCTGTAGATAAATTAACCGAAGAGACAGTAATAATAACCTATAAACCAAAAGATGAATTTATTGTTGAACATGACACCTCAAATATTGTGATTTCTCTATGGACAACGTCAGCAGCAAGAATAAGACTATTGAAAGCAATGCAAAAGGTTACCGGGAAACTTGACTGCAATCTGCTCTATGGGGACACTGACAGCATATTATTCTCTTACCCAAAGAACATGGAATGCCCGCTCCAAACCGGTCCCCATCTGGGTGATTTGGCAAGGGAATATGCAGGATCTGAGATAAAAGAATATGTTGGAGGCGCGTGCAAGGCTTATGCACTGAGAATGGAAAACAACAAAAACGCAAAAATCAGCACTGTTCTGAAAGTACGCGGCATCACTTTAACAGCTGATGTCTGCAAAATCCTGCACTTTGACACTTTCAAAGAGAGCGTACTTAAATATGCAAATGGGGAAAACGAAAACGAGGAAGATGATGATGAGGGAACAATTATGATCGAGAACCCAAACTTTATACGCCGCAGTGTGAAGGATGGTATAATTTACTCAACTAAAATGAGGAAAATATTTAGACCAATCATACAAAAAGGGATAATTTCAAACCTCAAAATTGTAAATTTCGGACAAAAATAATTTCATTTTTCACAATATATATTTCACCGTATTTTATTATTTTTGTCCTTTACTTTATTCACAAAATTTTTCAATTGTATTGTAATTTTCACAATAATTTTTCAATTGTATTGTAATATTTTCACAATGTTCTTTAAATTGTATTTAAATTTGTTGATAAATTGTTAGATTATAAAAATGTTTAATTACTTTTAGGGTTTTATAAAAAAAGATAAGGGTTATAAGATAAGATTGATGCAAAGTTAAGGGTTATAAGATGCAATTTTTTCAAAGTTAAGAGATAGAAGACAAAATTGATGCAAAGATAAGCAATGCAAGATGCAGGTTTTGGGGGTAATTATGTAAAGTTAAGCGATAGAAGATACAATTGAATAAAAGTTAAGGATGTGAAGAAACAATTGAATAAAAGTTAAGGTTTAAAAGATGAAAATGATAAAAAGTTAGAAGAAATATCACTATTTTCAGTAAAATATGTTAAAAAATATCTACACTTTTTACGCTTTCCCTCTTATTGGCGGGTGTAATGGAGTGCTACTCACTGGGTGGATGGCACAGTTACAGTATACAGCTTTGTGATTTATACAGTACACCCTATTGGAAAGTTTACGTGGTATGAGTTTAAATGAAAAATGATATTTCACCGAAAAATAAGATACATTATTCAAAATGTTAATGTTTTCAATTATATTAATAACTATTCCGTCCTTAGTGGCAGATAGGAGTGACAACAAACCATGGAACGGAGAAGAATTAGTGACTACATTATATCGGAGGACACCACTACCAATATGGCGGAGAACACCGCCACCAATATTTCCCAACAGAGATAAAAATAATTCAGTGGGAATACCATTATGGCGGAGAACACCGCCCCCACTATTTCCTGGCAGAGAAAAAAATACAACAGCGGAAATACCAATATGGAGGAGGACACCACCACCAATGTTTCCTAGCAGTGATAAAAATAATTCAGTGGAAATACCAATATGGCGGAGAACACCACCACCAATAATACCTAGCAGAGATATAAATGACTCAGAAAAGATTCAACGAGGTGATAAAATAGGCAATAAATCATTGAACAAAACAGATGTAGGGGAAAGGGTATTTAGGAAATGGGTTGTAAAGGACATCTATCATCTGAACAAAACAGACTTGGCAAGAAAACATGAAATAAAAAATATGGGGCGTTGGATTCTACGCTGGGATCTTTGGGACGAAAAGTTCAAATCTGGAAAACATAATCGAACAGATTACTTGATGTATTCAAGATGGCGATTTTTATACGAACCTCCTATTTCAAACATTATCGATTTTTTCAAAAATTTGTAATTTTTAATGTTTAACATTTTTATGTAAAATTGTTTAATAAACATGTACTTAACATAAAATTTTCTAATTAATTAATCACAAAATATCAAAACATTGCGTTTTTCCCATTGGTTCGGTTTACCTTCTATTTCAATCCACAATATTCCTGGCCTAGATTTTTTCTTAATAGGTGTAGGTGGAAAACTTCCAAGGGATAATGGAATACTGTTGAGAGTAAGTGTTGATGATGACGAAGTTGCTTGTGTACGTCGAGCCCCAAATTCTGAACTACTTATAGGTGACGAAGGTGAGCTGGGGGCAAAGCATAAAAGTTCTAGAGGGTAGTATCTCTCACATATTCCATTCTTTGTGCATGTTCTCTCTATAACACATTGATGAAACGGATATTGGAGTTTTATCTTGTGGTGAGCAAAGAAATATGCCGCAACCGATATGTTGAATGGGTAAGCTAAGTCACCGAAGGCTTTGACAAAATGTGCTCCTGAAGTTGTAATTCCGTCACATCTAACTCTGCTATATAATCCTCGCCTATCAGGATAATTTGTCTCTAACTTTCCTTTCTCATTTATAAATTTTGCGATCAAATCGGCATTTTCCTGATACATTAATCTGTATCTCACCAGATAAATTGGGCAATTCAATTTTTTAGAAATCTCATCCAAAATAGAGGTCATTTTATTGATTAATTTAGAATGATTGATGAATGACTTGATAAATTGTTAAGGTGAACGAAAATTTCAGCCTTTTATACCCAAGGATTTGACCTTGAAAACTGACAACTATTTCGAAATATTAGGAAAGGGCGGAGCTTAGGAGGAGTATATAAGGCGAAGGATTTTCAACTTTTCATTCATTTCTTCATTCATTAAAAATAAAATTTTAAATAAATAAAAATGAGCGGATCAAAAAAAGAAAAGATCCCAAAAATGGAATTAGTTAATGAGTCAAAAATTGAGAAGGAAGAAGAGATAATTGAATTGGAAGAGGAAAAAGAAAAGGCAAGCAAACCAAAAGCCTCTGCTTCAAAAGTTGAGAATGGGAAAATTGAGAAAAGAAACAGTATAAATCCGCGTATTCTATGGAAACTTGTGCGCATAAGAGAAACACCTAGGATTGAAATTAAACTTTGCAAAAAATGTGCCAATGCGCTTTACAATGATAAAAATAAATTCACTCAGAAGGAAAATGGAAACATCGGAATCTGCTTTGAAATATGCGAAACCTGCGCGAAGCTAAATATGCAGCTCAAGGATTTTGTTGCTGACTGGGATGAAAAGAATATACAGAAATTGAAAAAGTGATTAATGTTTTCTGTCAACTTTGTTATTTATTTTTGATTTCATTAATTGTAACATTTTAATTCTAAATAAATATTTTTGAATTGTATTATTTTTCATTAACTTAGGAAAAAAATTAATCACACATTCTCGGAGGCCACGCCCATTTTCAGAGTATAAATACTGAAAAATTCTCCCCAAGATCAAACTTCCGCCAAAAATTTGAATTCATTTATAAAATTTCTTGAAAAATGTCAGTAATTGAAAATAATTGCCAGCTCTTGGAAAAAGTGCTCCCTGAGGTGTTATTTACGGTATCTTCTACTGGTGTGACAATTTCGTCACCACGTCTCATAACCACACGTTTTGTGGAGTTTGACATGGCAGGAAAATGTAAAAGTTGCAGGGGAGAAAATGTGGACATAGATTTTATTGTTACTCCAAAGGACGTAACCTTATATTGCAATCGCCTAAAATCAGAAAAAATAGTAATGTTTGATCATATTTATGAAATTCCTCAACAGTGTATCTTTCGTGTACGGTCGAAAGGGAAGAATTTCAACATTTTACACAAAGAGCAAGTCTGGAATGAAAAACAGTTCATCACCGGTAATGAGCAAATGAGTGTCAAGGAATTTTTGTCAAAGTTTACACATAAGAAGGCTCAAGTAGAGAACGAAGAAACAAAAGAAAATATAAAGGAAGACGATAAAGAAAAAATATTAAACGATAATTCAATTACCCCTCTTAATCATTAATCATTCTTATTTATATTTATAATTTTCAACAAATAATTTGACCATGAATTATCATTTATTTTCTAATAAAGATTTAAAACTAAAACTTCCATTTGGTTGTATTATTAGCGGTCCAAGTTCAACTGGCAAAAGTACACTTGTGCGAAAATTAATTTCAAATTCTGATAAACTTATCGACCCTACCCCAAAATCTATTCTTTACTGCTATGGTGAATATAACTCACTTGTTCCAGAACTACAACGAGCCGGAGTCTCAGTTTACTCTGGTGTCCCCCCTGAGGATCTTATTAAGAAACAACAACAACCCTCTCTTGTCATCCTCGATGACCTAATGTACTCAATTGACGAAAAATACTTATCGGAACTTTTCACAAAGAAATCTCATCATCTTAATTTTGGCATAATATTCATCACACAGAATCTCTTCGAGAAAAAACTAAGGGTCGCACGTCAAAATTCTATGTATATTGTATTAACCCGCGCACCAAATAGTGCATTGGCCGTTCGAAATCTAGGAGTACAACTATTCCCAGGAAGATTAAATTATTTTCTAGACGCATATCGACAAGCAACAAGCAGCAGTAATTATTCTTACCTATTTATCGATTTACACCCCTCATCAGACCCAACACTTAGACTAAGAACAAATATATTCGCAGACAAAGAATCAGAAGACTCCTACAACTCATTACCAATTATATTTTTACCCAAGAATTCCTCTAATTAAAAATGATGTCAACGAAAATTAGCCAACTTGTCAAGGACAACCTACAGTTTCTCAAACAGCTCGCAAAAACGCGCTCACTAGCTAAAAGAAGACGCTTTTTAAGAAAAGCATCAATCGACCAATTACTTTCTCTCACTGAAATTTGCTACAATATTGTACGTGATCAATTTAAATTAACTAAGAGACAAAAATCTCGTCTTCTACCATTCGCTGATTTTGTTCGTCGTGTGAGCAGGTTAAAAACGGAAAGAGGAGCCCGACGTACAGTAATACAACAAGGAAGTGGTTTACCAATTGGATTGTTCCCTGCCCTTCTAACTCCAATCATTATTGAATTAACAAAAACATTAACAAGCAATTAATAAAAATGGCAAATAAATATATATTAATTCCTGAGGACATATATCGTGGACTACTTACTCACCCCATACCGGAAACTGGAAATATCAACTTGGATTTTACACGCGAAAATTTGGAAAATATCAAAAATCAAAATGCCAACACAGAATTAAAGAATATAAATTATAATCAGGAATTGAGACGTTATCTACACATGTTGAAGGATCAGAATGAGAGACCAATGAATGTTTCAGTAAGGCAAATGGAAGATCCAGCCCTGGAGCAAATTAAAAAATTGCTTCCCCTACTCCAAACAAGCTCCAAAGAAAGTAATCAACAAGTCCTTAAACAAAATATACCCACACCAAAATTGTCCCCGTTAAATGAAGGTGGAGATTTAAACGAAGATGATCTTAGTATGCATACGGCCGGGGAGGAATCTCCGGATTCCAAGAGGAAAATGGAACCAAAGAAGTCAACAATAAGAGAAAAGACAGAGGAAATTTTTGAAAATATGAAACAGGAAAATCTAGATAAATATGATGTGAGCACAGATGGAAAAATTTTAAGTAAGAAGGGAGGCAAAGAAATACAGGGAAGCAATGCACAGAAATCCATAGAGTGCATTCTCCGTACAGGAATCACTGGGAAATTGAGATGGGGAGAGTTGACACCACCGGGGACAACAGTTTTAGAAAATAAGTTAAAAAGTGATAACAAAATTTGGCCATTGATAGAGAAGGCACGAGAAAGTTGTACACCAAAAAGAACTAATACAAAGCAAAAAAGAAAAATACCTGAATCCAAAGAAATAGCTGAATCAAAATGGAGACTCCCAACAGAGTGGAAATGATATTAGATAAACTTTACAATGATCCAGCGAATCCGGCAGGATTTGCTGGTGTAAACCAGTTATGGACAGAGGCTAGAAAAAAAGATGCAAGTATTAAGAAGAAGGAAGTTGAGGAATATTTGGAAGGCCACAGAACTTACACAATTCACCGCCCTAGGCGCGTGCACTTCAAAAGATCAATAACAACCCCATCTGGTTATATGACAGACGTTCAGTGCGACTTGGCAGATTTCCAAAAATTATCACGGCAAAACAACGGGAAAAATTATGCGCTTGTGGCAATCGATGTGTTAAGCAAAAGAGTTTTTGCTGAACCTGTTCGCACTAAAAAGTCAAATGATATGATTGATGCATTTGAAAAAATTTTGGCAAGAATGGAAATGCACCCACACCGTATTTTTAGTGATAAGGGAACTGAATTTTGCAGCAAGGAAATTATTGCATTTTTCAGAGAAAAAGATATTGAAAAATACTCGGCAACCTTTTCATCAGTTAAAGCGTCACTAGCTGAACGATGTATTCGAAACATTAAACAGAGACTGTACAGATTTATGAGTGAGAAGCATACATTAAAGTGGACAGAGGCATTACCGAAAATAGTTGACGCAATAAATCATTCAAAGTGTAGGGTTTTAGGTGGATTAAGACCGGTTGACGTAAGCTTTAACAATGCAAAGGAAATTAGAGAAATGGTATTTGGTCCTATTGGGAAGAATAAACCTAGAAAAAACCCACGATTTAAGGAAAATGATCATGTACGTATGAGCAGAAGCAAAAATATTTTTTCAAAGGGTTATCTCCCAAATTATAGCGATGAAATTCTTCAAATAGATCTTGTCAAAAAGAAGGCTAACCCCAACAGATACCGTGTCCGCGACGATAATGGGGAAGTATTTAAAGGATATTTCTACCCTGAGGAATTAACCCGAGTGAGGAAGGATGAGAATACTAGCTACAGAATTGAGAAGGTTATTAAGAGCAGAAAGAAAAAAGATGGAGGAAAAGAATTTTTTGTTAAATTTTTTGATTACCCCCAACCCCAGTGG